ATATAAAGTCCAAATATCCACAGTTGGATTTTCAGCTTTGAAGCTAAAACTTTAGCACACACGTTACAGAAACAACTAAAGAAAGATCCTCAGCTTCACCTGACGAAACGTTAGCACCAGCTTCAGGTCTGTGAGCCGACTCTGGGCCAAACTTTAGAAAGTGTTTGCACTCGAGCTTTGGGGATTTTGCAAGGTCCACGAACTGAGTCGATCAAAGTTTGCGCATCAGTGCTTTTCCACGGCGTGCAGTGGAAGCTCACAGACGTTCAGCTCCTTCAGCAGTGACACAGACACGTCGTTTCTTTATGATTACACACACGCTCTCTTTATATTTACAAAGCTTCTAATCAACGCTGTTATTTTGGTCTGGAAACATCAAAGCTGCTGTTTTTAATATTCATTCTAATATTGTCGCTGTGAAGTTTCGTTATCTCCTCCCACAAGAGCAGGAAACGACATTTCACAGACACATGTCAGCATGAGACTAACTCAACATCACTTCTGTGCTTTATGAAAATTAAATCTCCAAAAGATAATGTTTTTCTTGTGAGAGCCACAGAAGATCGATTGTCCCTTCACTAATAAATGATTTCAGAAGGTGAAAGAGGAGAAAAGAGAATTTAATGGGATCTCTCTTTATTATTAAGCAGAGAGATTAAAATGTCAGCGTGTGAAAGGCTGCTGCAGAAATATGAGAGGACGACACGCTCGCTGACCAGGACCAATCATGAAAAAACAATAAAATACATTTGAAATTGGCTCCACAGCAGAGCAATGCAGATCTGAATATAACACTCAGATGATGTATGTGTCTTTAAAGAGGTTCTGCTGCTGCAATTACATCTCCTCTCCATCCTGATGAACAGATAAATCCTTCCTGTGACTGTCAGAGTGGACATCAAGAGGAAACACAGTGACGCTGCTGTCAGACGAGCTTCATGTTCACTTCAGCTCAACTTCATGAATGAATTTTGGGCTTAAAGCTGTAACGATCCACGAGACACAGAGCAAAACGCAAACACATCTGTCTGAGTCAGGGGAGAACAATGGCAAGGATGATTTGCATGGATGAAATCCTTTTTGCAAAGATTTCACAAGGAAAGCTCAATGCCAGGCACTGCTAAGAGAAAGTGCAACGTGGGGACCTGAGTATCTGCTGGGGCAATAATGATTCATTGATGGCAGCAGGGGGCAAAAAAATCAAAGAATTGGCAGAAAAGCAAAAACAAGACACTCCAGCAAGTGGATCGTTTTCAAACTAATGCAAAAAGAAGTTAAAGATAAGATCATGTCATTGCACAGTCAGACTAGAGTCCAGACATCCATCAAAAATGGTGGAGGGCGATGTCTGCAGCTGTGAGCAGCAGAGCCTGTAGGTGACCACTCGAGAGTGACAAAGATGGATTTCCAGGTAGTGGAAAGGCTGAGGACCTGAGCTGTGACAACGAGGAGCAAAGCAGGACTTGGAAACGGCTAGAACGACACTTCAAGTAGAGCAAGATGCCCTGGGGAGTGAAGGTAGTATATACCTATATATATAAGCAGAGTATATACAGGAAGCAAGAGATTTCAAAATAAAACAGGAAGTTAACAGAAACCCCAAACCATGATGATAACAAGCAACATGGACGATAACGACACAAGAGCAAGTCTGTCAACAGTTGTAGATGAGATATAAAACATATTTATCCAAAAGTCTGTTTAATTACAAATATTTTTAATATTTAAAAAAGCTCAGCAGCTAGTAGCCGTGCTTGCACACGCTCAGTATCAGCACACAAGCATCAAAGAGAACATCACCTGCCTGGCTGCAGCCCTGGAGACTGGGTGCAGACCAGTTTCACCAACACTCAGCCCAGTCAGGTCAAAGTAAAAGATCAAACTAACACGATGAATGCAGCTCTGATCCCCTCACACAGTGAAGCACTGATATGCACACTTCATATCCACAAGCTGGAGTGATTCTTCAGTTAGCGAGAAGCTAAGTTATTGGCAAAAGTTCACATCTGTGAGCTCAGAATATAGAAATGACATACGAGTACTTCACAGCAGGAACGCCACGCTTTTATCACACTCGTCTCTCTAACGATGCAACCTGCTGTCTGACAGCTCGCATGTCGCGCCTTCAACAGCCAGAGACGATATCTGTCGCCACGTCGCAGTAACATGATTGGCTGCCACTAAACCAGGTTTCCCACCTTTGCAGCTGCACTTGAACAGCAGCAGGAATAACCTCGCCTCCAGGATTTCTGCAAAATCCTAAATCGATGCTTTTTAAGACCTCAAGAAATAAAAATGAACACTGAACAACGACTAAATGAATTCAGGCTTATTACTAAGCTCAGGTCAGAGGTGTAAAGCTCCGGTCCTCGAGGGCCGGCGTCTCTGCTGCAACACGCCTGAATATCATTAGCAAGCCCTGACTGCACGCTGAGGAGGCAGTCCAGCCATGTGACTCATGTTACAGCAGCTCATGAGTGAATGAACAGTGCAACACAAGTACACTTCAGATTTATTGAGATTTACTTGAGCAGGGTAACGGGCTGCCTCCTCAGCGTGCAGTCCCGTCCTGCTAATGATATTCAGGCGTGTTGCAGCAGGGACTCGAAGACTGGAGCTTGATACAACGCAACACAGTTTTTATAAAGTGAAACTTCCCTCTCTCTTGTGTGCTGTTCATCCCAGAAAATCCCGTCTTTATACAGAACCTGCTTATGGACCAGTTAGTCCATGTTGATATTAGCAAGGCATTAAAACAAATAAGCAAAACAAGTGACAGGAAGCCTCTGACGGCAGCGTTGTTCTATGAAACAAGAAGGTGTAGACGTCGCGTTTCCTCTGAGGCTCTGTGAATAACGATATGCCCAAAGTTTGACCAGCGAGAGCCAAAAATGACTTCGTACCACAGCTTTACCTGAACCTGCTGACCTGAAACCTCAGGGGTCACTGCTGCAGGCTCATTGGATAATTGCATGTATGAGAAGTTTACATGTATTCATTAGGGGTGCAACGATACACA